GAACATTATGAAATCCAAAATAGATAATTTTGTTTACATTAAATTAAAGTTTTTCACACAAATGAAACCAACACAACCAAGATGAGAAGGAAAGTAGAAAGCTGGGAAACAATGTTTATAGCCAGTATTTCTGATAGAAGTCTCATTTCTCAAATATATAGAGAACTGAATCAAATTTATAAGAGTACAAGTCATTCTCCAATTGATAAATGGTCAAAGGTTATGAACAGGCAGTTTTCAGTTGAAGAAATTAAAGCTATCTAGAGTCATGTGGAAAAATGATCTAAATCACTACTGATTAGAGAAATGCAAATTAAAACTGCTCTAAAGTACCACCTCACACCTATCAGATTGGCTAATATGACAGAAAAGGAAAATGATAAATGTTGGAGAAGATGTGGGAAAATTGGAACACTAATGCATTGTTAGTGGAGTTGTGAATTTGATCCAACCATTCTGGAGAGCAATTTGGAACTATGTCCAAAGGGCTATAAAACTGTGCATATCCTTTGATTCAGCAAAACTACTACCAGATCTATATGCCAAAGATATCATAAAAAAGGGGAAAGGACCTACATGTACACAAATATTTATAGGAGCACTTTTTGTGGTGGCAAAGAATTGGAAATTGAAGGAATGCCCATCACTTGGGCACTGAACAAGTTGTGGTATGTGAATGTAATAGAATATAATTGTGCTATAAGAAATGATGAGCAGTCAGATTTCAGAAAAACCTGGAAAGACTTGTATGGACTGATGCTGAGTGAAGTGAGCAGAACCAGGAGAATGTTGTATGCAGTAACAGTCATGTTGTGTGATGACTAACGTTGATAAACATAGCACTTCTCAGAAATACAAGGATCTAAGACATTTCCAAAAGTCCCATGCTGGAAAATGCTATCCACATCCAAAGAAAGAACTATAGAGTTTGAATGCAGATCAAAGCACACTATTTTCATTTTTTGGTGGTTTTTCCCTTTTGTTCTGTTTCTTCTTTCCCCAAATTAACAATGTGGAAATATATTTACATGATCATACGTGTATAACCTATATCAGATTGCTCGCCATCTTGGGTTGGGGGTGGGGTGGGGGGATGGGCAGGAAGGAGGAAGAAAAAATTTGGAACTCAAAATCTTGTAAAAATGAATGTTGAAAACTATCTTGACATGTGATTGGAAAAAAATAAAATACCATTTACCAAAAAAAAAAAAAAAGGAAAAGCCCCCCATAGAAAAATTAGAAGCTGCAAGAAAAGGGAGAAATTCCTTAACCCATGATCCAAGGCCCTCTATTAGCCATTATCATTATAGCTACCATTTATATGGCATTTTAAAGGTTTCAAAGCACTTTACATATGTTACCTCCTCATATTCTCATAATAGTTCTGTGATTTAGAGGCTATTATTATCCCCATTTTATGGGTGAGGAAATTGAGGCCAAGAGAGGTTAAATGGCTTGCACAGGGTCACACAGCTAGTGTCTTAGGCAAAATTTGAATTCAGGCCTTCTTGATTCCATGTCCAGTACTCTATCCACTGCACAACTTAGTGGTCAGTTACATACATTTTCATATGCCTCAACCTACCTTTCAGCTTTATCTTCCTCTAATCCCTATGAATAATAGTGATAGTAACAACAGTAATACAAGAGCAACAACCAATCTACCATTTATACAGCACTGGAAAGTTGTAAAACCCTTTATCTTATTTGATCCTCACAACAACTGTGTGAGGTAGGTATTCTTATTCTGATTTTATAGATGAGAAATATTAAACTATCAAAGATTAAGTGACTTGCTCAGAGTAGCAAGTATCTGAGGCAGGATTTGAATTTTGTCTAACACTTTATCCATTATCCATGACTGGTCTCATCACTGTCCCTCCTACCCCTACTCCCACCTTCACCCCCAGCTCGACTTCAATTCTCCTAAGTCTATGCTTTGGCTCATGAACTTTCCCTCCAACCATATCATTAATATTTTCTTCCTTGGCCCTTTGACATCTTTTCCCCTTTGGTCATGCAATAGAAAATATATATGATTTGAGATTAAAAGACTTGGGCTTAAATCCTAGCCCTAATTGGACCAAAAAATTTAACTTCTAAATTTCTTAAGGGACAGCCAGGTGGTGCCATGGATAGAGATATGGGCCTGGAGTCAGGAAGATTTGCCTTCATGAGTTCAAACATTTACTAGTTGTGTGACCCTGAGCAAGTCACTTAACCTTGTTTGCCTCAATTTCCTCATTTGTAAAATGAGTTGGAGAAAGAAATGGCAAACCACTCTGGTATCTTTGTCAAGAGGACCCTAAATGGGGTCACAAAGAGTCAGACAAGACTGAAAAACAAGAACTAAACAACAACAACAAATTTCTTAATCTATAATAATAGGGGTGGGATGTTATTGGACCTATAAGTACCTTTCCAACTCTAAATCTATATTCCTATATACTCAAATGATCCTTCTAACATATTCTCTGATTTGGAACAAATCATTTGATACCTCTGGGATTCAGTTTCTTTCTCTATAAAATAAGAGGCTGAAATACATATCTAAGGTTACTTCCAGCACTGACTCCGGAGACTTGTAGAGCAATTATCAGTTGCCAAATCAGTTTTCACCACAGAAAAAAAGAACTAGATTCTCATGGAATGACTGTTTTGAAAATAAGAGCTTCAGGAAAAAGAATAACACCATGAAAATACAAAGTGGCATAGGGATTGTTAGGTAACCTAACAACTTAATTCTGCTATTCACTCCCTGGGTGACCCTGGGTAAATCACTGTCACCTCTCTGAAGGTCAGTTCATTCATCTGTAAAGTGAGGGATCTGTTAATAGATGAAATATAAAGATCCTTACAAGTCTAACAGTCCATTTCTTTTATGTTCTAAGGTTCCTTTAAGCTCTAACATTTTATGTTCTAAGGTTCATTCTAGGTATCACTTTTGTTGTTGTTCTTCTAATGTCCTTTCTAATTTCAATATGCTGTCTTCTTAGGATCATAGATTGGAGCTAGAAAGAATGTAAGAAGCCACCTAAATCCAACTTCCTCATTTTACAGGTAAAGAACTAAGGCTCAGAGAGGTTAAATTACCTGCCCAAGGTCACACAGCAAAGTAGCAGAGCTGGGATTCAGACTAAGTTGTTCTGCTGAATCAAAATTCAGCACTTTTGCCACTGTACCATAGTATGCTTTGTTCTAAGGTTCCAAAAAGTTTGGTATGTACCAAAGACCTAAGGTCCTTTTCAACTCTAATAGGGTGTGATGAGAATGATAATAAATATAACCATTACTGACCAAATTCTCATTTGCAGCCCAGGTTTCTCAATGACTTGGAAAGAGCTGCCATTCATTGAAGATGCTTTCATTTGTAATCACAGGAGACAGAAAGTAGCCAAAGAGAAACCAAGTGCCCCAGTTACAGAAATGAAGCTTTCCATCCACCCTGGTCAATCACATCCAAATGGATTTTAAATGGCAGACAAATGTTGAGTGAGTGAGTTCTATGTTTGTAAGTAGGCTGCATTCTCAATACAAGTCAAAAGTGATAGGACAAGGGGCAGCTAGGTGGCGTAGTGGATAGAGCACTGGCCTTGTAGTCAGGAGAACCTGAGTTCAAATGCAGCCTCAGACACATAACACTCACTAGCTGTGTGACTCTGGGCAAGTCACTTAACCCCAGTAGCCCTCACCAAAAAAAAAAAAAAAAATAGTGATATGACAACCCCAAAGATCATGAAAGGTTAGCCTAAATTAATAGAATCATCATATGCAAAATTAGTGGAGGTGTTAATAATTCTGCCGTCCCCTATCTTGGGCAGATAGTATCTGGATTATTGTATGCAGTCTTAGATACCAGATTATAGGAAAGGCATTGACAAGTTGGAGCATTACCAGAGAAAGGTAAATGGATGGTGAGGGTATTTGAAGGCATGCCATGTAAGATTTGCTACAAAGAAGTAGCAATGCTTAGCCTAGAAAACGACTATGCTGTTTCTTTACATTGCCATTTTCAGAATACTTTCCACATATTTCTTAAATTTTCTTACTTTATTTGCCTTGCATTTGTCTTTTCCCTTTTCCCCCTTTCTCTTTACCTATTCTTTCCTTTCCCTTTCCCTTTTCATTCCTTTCCCCAGCTCCCTTTCCCCCTTTCTTCTCTTTCCCCTTCCCCTTTTCCATTTTCTGCTTTCCCTTTTTCATACTTTGCCCCTTTTACTTATTCCTCATTCTCTCTTTCTTTTCCCCCTTCCCTCTTTTTCTTTTCCTTTCATCTCCTTTCCTGGAACTCTTATTGAAGAAATTTCCTCTACCCAGGCAGAACAGTTACTGTTCTTCAATTTAGAGTCTTAGAAAGTTTCTTGGGAGCATTGGGAGGTTATGTAACTTCCCTAAAGTCACACAGCCAGTCTTGTATTAAAAGCAGAATTGGAATCCAAATCTTCCTGACTCTCAAGCCAGTTTTCTATACGTGATTTTCCCTTTCCTCTTGCTGTGAACGTTTCAGGTGCTTGATAAATGTCTATTGAATTTAATCACAATCTTTAAATCTTTGAAAGTCTATCAAGGACAAGAGACATTAGACTTAAGCTTATAAGCCCTGGAGGACAATAGTAGGATAATGTGTGAAAATTGCATAGAAGCACATTTCATATCCATATAAGGAAGAATTTTCTACAAATTGGAGCCATCTCAAAGTAGTATTGACTGTCTTAGATGTAATGAGTTCCCCCTCACTGGAAGTCTTCAAGCAGTGGCTGGATGATTACATTCCACGGGTGCCATACAGGTAGTTCTACTTCTCCAGGTTCAGCCAGTGTTGAATAAGATGATCTCTGAGGTGCTTTTATGATTGTGATATTACGATTGAATATTGCAATATTACAGTTCCAAAAGTCTAGAAAATTGAAGGGAGAACTAAGCGCACAGTATTCTGAATCATATGTGGGATCAATGGAAGGGATATTTGGGATGAGGGACCCAAGGGAACCTCAACTCACATTTGGAACAAAACCTGGCGTCATTGCCTTCTCCAGCACGGCGTCCCAGTTCATGTCGGCTAAATATGGAGAGCTCTGAATATCTACAAGGCTGGAAAGGCGGCTTTCAGGGTCTTTTGTGAGGAGCTGTGATTTCAAAACAGAAAAAGAAAAGATTTTCTGCACTTCATATGTTTAACAAGTTCAAAGTCTGATGAGAATCCTGAAATTTAAGAGGTCAGAGTAATCAATATATCATAACATTATTGCTCTGCATTAATCTAGATCCTTTTTTCTCAGGTGGCCCACATGCTCTGAGAAATTCATCTTGACTCAACAGAAAATAAGATCAGCCCAACTAGCAGATTAAAGAACTGAAACCCAGAGAAGAGAAATCCAGAAAGTTATGAAGCAAATCAGTCAATCAGTAAGCACCTAGTATGTGCCTGTCACTGTGTTAAGTGCTGGGAATACAAAGAAAAATAAAAGATGATTCCTGTTCTCAAGGAGCCCACACATAGTTTAATGAGGGAGACAATATGCAAACAATTATATAAAAACAATATAAAAGCAAAAAGGCAAACTGGAGATAATTAAGGACAGAAAGGCACTAGAATTAAAGCAGATCAGGAAAGGCTTCCTATAGAAGGTGCGGTTTTAGTTGGTAGTTGAAGGAAGCCAGGAATTGGAGATAAGGAGGAAGAGTTTTCCAGGCATGGAGAACAGCCAAAGAAAATGCTCAGAGTGGACAGATGAGGTGAACTGCATGAGGAACAACAAGGTTATGAGACATCTAGTTTGAGGTGTCTAATATTCAGTTGGAGATGTGAGTCTGGAGGCTAGGAGAGGTTAGAGCTGGACAAACAGACCTGGAAATCATCAACATAGAGATAACAATTGAAACCATTAGAGCTGATGAGATCTCCAAGGTAAATAGTACACTTCCTATTCCTTTTCCTCCTCCATCTCCATCACTACCTTTACTACCACCTGACATTACACAGTGCTTTCAGAGACGGTTTAGATAAGTAGATAATTTTTGAGTTGGGAAGGTCTAGGTTCAAATTTTGCCTCTGACACACACACATATTTACTATGTGATCTTGGCCAAGTAGCTTAACTTGTCAACATCCCAAAGCAACTGTTTAAGTTGCAAAAAGAGATGCCAAGCTATATTGATGGAGGGAATTTCCTCATGGGGAGCTCACTCTAATTATGAAATCATAGGTCCAGACCCCATCCTTTTCCCCATAAAAATAATACCTTAAACTTTTCAAAATACTACACATTTATAATTCCATCTTAGACTCATTACACCAAAGTAATCATTTCAGCTATTACTATCCCCTTTTACAGGTGAATAAATAATGATAGCATCTATATGGTGCTTTAACATTTGCAAAACATTTTACAAAAATCATCTCATTTGACCCTTACAACTCTGGGAGGTAAGTACTATTATTGTCCCTTTTTTTTAGGAAACTGAAGTAACCAGGGATTAAATGACTTGACCTGGATGCCACAGCTTTAAGTGTCTGAGGTCAGATCTGAACTCAGGTCTTCCTTACTTCATCCATTGTAACCACCATACCACCTAGCTAAAGTTCGGAAAGGTAGTATTTATCACATAGTGACTAGGGCACTGAACTTGAAGTCAGAAAGACCTGGGTTTGAATTCTACCTTGAATATTTATTAGTTGTATAACCCTGGGCAAGTCACTTAATCTCACTGTGCCTCAGTTTCCTCACCTGTAAAATAAGGGGGTTGGACTTGATGGCCTCTAAGATCCCTTCTAGGTCTATGTCTCTGATTCTAAGATTGTATGGTGAAGTGATTTGCTCATACCAACAAATGGCAGGATCAGGTCTCCCTGTCCTCAGGTTATTAATATAGTAACAGTGAGATAATGTTGCACAGTGAGCAGAGAGATGATTTCTGAGCCAATTGAATCTATGTTATTGTGATTAAGTGATTTTTACATGAATATATAGCATGCAAAGGTCAGAGCTGGAATGTAAATAGCCAGGCTTTCATTCATGACTCCAAAGTTAAGAGGGAAGCATCAATGGAAACAGAGAGATGATCTCTGAACCAGCCAAACCCGAGTTCAAATCCCATCTCTGAAACATACTGGCTCCAGGACCCTGGACAAGTCCCTTAACCTCTAAATGTCCTAGACAAGTCCCTAAGTTTCAGGAAGGGTTTCAGCTTATATTGGCAGAGGGAGTTTTTTTTTTTTTTTTTATCTTGAATTTCCCTATACTAATGATATTACGGCTCCGTCCCCAGCCCTAGTTTAGTTGGAATAGTGAAGAAGCGTCAACACATGAGAGAAATACTACCAAGGTCAATGATATAGGACTTGGAAATAAGAGAGGAGAAAGAGGGAGCAGTTAAAAGTGACTCCAGAGCCACAAGCCTGGTGTCATTGATAGGAATTGGAAGCCAAGAGGAGTTCAGGTGGTTTCTGATAAGCTGTGGGGCTCATCACACTGTCTGAGACAAAGTGTTCTGAGATTGCAGCTTTACTTGAGAATACAGGGACACGTAACGGAGAAGCAGCCTCCTGTGACAGTCAGAGAGATTAAAAGAACAGAACAGAATTCCTCTCTGAGCTTTTTTTTTTCTTCCAAGAGGAGCACTTTTGGTGCCTGATTGGTGAGGTAGAGGACACAGTGCAGGCAACATAATGATTTTCTTCACCTTATTATTATACTTGGGGTTTCTTCTAGTCTGCAATTTTTGTCCACTTCTTAAAAATTGGAAATATTTAAGAGATCCATTAAAGGACAGCAGCTTGTATCCCAATTTGTAAGTAACTAAAAATATACTTTGGAAAAAAATTCTTAATTTTTTTCTAAATTAGCCAAACTTTGATATTTGATACATCAAGCAATATAATTTTATGAATAAACCAAAATTGAGTTAAAAAAATAGTGTTTACATCCTAGCTCTGCATTTACTATCTGAATGACCTTGGGTAGGTCATTTAAACTCTTCAGGTCTCAGTACTCCCATTTGCAAGATTCAAGGGTTATGCTAATCTCTTTTAGCTCTACATTCTATGATCCCAGAGTTTAGAAAAATGATTAAAAATACAGAGCTAAAAGGGAGCTTAGAGATAGATTATCTAGTATAATCCTTTTTTTTTTCATTAGGGATCTAAAACAATACCTTTTCACCAATAGCAAGTGTACTATGGAAGAGAGAACCCTGGACTTGAATTCAGAAGATTGAGGATCAAGTCCTGACTGTCACTAAGAGGTCTGTGACCACGAACAAGTCACATGTACTCTCTAAGCTTTCTTTGCTAAACAAAACAAAACAAAAAACAAAAACTTCCATTTTTCCCTATTATCTACCAAATAAATTTCATAGTCCTTTGCCTGTTATGCAAAGCCCTCCATAATTCACTATTACCCTGCCTTTCTCCAGTCTTATTTTATGTTAATCCCCCTCCACACAAACTAGTCCCTTCTCTGCCTCTGTCCCCACCTTTCTGTATTTTTCCATCCTTGTGACAAGGCATGTGTTGTTACCTGTACCTGTTATTTCCACCCTCTTGCTCTTTGCCTACTAAAATTTTCTTGTTGTCCATCCTTTGTTCTCAAAGAGGACCAGTGACATCAGCAGGGTGATGTCTTGACTTGCACATGAATTGGCTTTAAGTGAGGCAGAGCTGCACAAAATCATCAGCCTTACTCTCTCCTCCAGAGTCATCAAAGTCCAGTGACAAGAGAAAAAGGATGATTGGTGATGGCTTAGAATGCAGTGGGTGACCTTGGCCTTTCTAAATTAAAGTCTTTCCCAGGTCTCCACCAAATTCTTACTCATCATTTCAAGGTCATCTTAGATGCCACTTCCTTCCTGAAACTTTCTTTGCCCTGCAGCCCTTTATGATTTTTTACCTCAGAATTCATATAGTAAAGATAGGAGATCTGTTATATTTTCCTAATAAACTTCCATTAAGACCAGTACTATGTCTTATCTAAACTTTACATCTCCCCAAGTTCCCAGCATAGTGTGTATTGCACACTATTAGCAGCCATATAAGTATGCATTATAATCTGAAAAAAATGTGTGTAATAATATTTGTAATTATCTACTTCATACATTAATGGGGAAAGTGCTTTGTAACCATAAAATTCTATAAAAAAGTAGGCTAGTATGGCTCACTTTGGCTAAACTGGAAAAGTAGGTTCCTATATGCAAAAGAGCTAAAAAAATAAAGAATTGAAGGATTGGGTTTTTTGTTTATTCGTTTGCAGAAATTTCCACAGGATTTCCTTTTTCCCTAGGTAAAAATTTAAAAAAGAATCTTGTATTCCACATGACTTTGAAATTTGCAGAACAATTACATCTCTAGTAAGAGGTCTTTTTTTTAAATTTTTATTTTATTCTGAATTTAAGAACTAAAGCAATCATTTCCATAACTTAGTAAAATAGAAAAAAAAGTTGATTGTACATGAAACTGCCAATCTATTGTGTCCAAGTTGCTATTCCTTCTAAATATATAATAAAGTTCTAATCTTTTGTTGCCAGTCACTAATCACGCTTTCCTGGCCTGAAATTGCATCTAAAATACCACCTTCAATGTGAAGCCTTTCCTGATCTCTCTCAATACTAGTGCCTTCCCTCTGTTGATTTTCTCCCATTTATCCCATATTTACCTTCTTTGTACTTAATTGTTTGCATATTGTATCCCCCGTTTAACTAAGAGCTCCTTGAGAACAGGGACTGGGATTTTTTTTTTTTTTTTTTTTTTTTTATGGAAGGGGCAGTGTATCCTTGGAGCTTAGTACAATTCTTGGCACTTAAATGCTTATTGACAGACTGTGGATATCCTCCAGGTCTCCCTCCTGATTTGTCTTCTTTTTCTCTCTTAATCTCATCAGCTTCTCTGGATTGAATTACAGATTTCTATGCAGATGACTCCAAGATTTATATAGAGCCCTATTCTCTCTCTTGTCCTCTAGTCCCTTCTTACCAGCAGCACGTAGCACATCTCAAACTGGCTGTCCTGTATACCTCTAAAACTTGACCTGCCCAAGACAGAATTCGTTATCTTCCCCCAAACCCATACCTCCTCCGTTTCTTTTTCTGTTAATACTATCTTCATCCTCCCATTCTCCTCCATTTGCAGCCTCCAGTTGTCCTTCCCCTCAACACACCCTATATCCAATCAGTAGTTGATTCTTGTTGAATCTGTCTCTATAATACATCATTATTAGTCCATTTCTGCATACTCCCACAGTCAGCACCCTGTTTCAGGCCCTCATTACCCCTCCTCTTGACAATTATAAGAATCTCCTCATTAGATTCCCAGCTTTTAAACTTCATTTAGTTGCTTCACCTTCCAATCTGCCTTCCACAGAGCTGACAAAATAATCTTCCTCGAGTTCAGATCTGATCATGCCCCTCCCCTGCTCAAGGACCTTCTGGAATTCCTAATTCTTCAATGAAAAAATACAAACTCCTCAGTTTGATATTTAATACCATTCATCATCTGATTCAAGCCTACTTTTCCAGGGTTATTGTACATTATTTTTTTTACCCACTCTATTTTCAAGGCAGCTTAATAACTTGCTGTTCTCCAAAGTTGGGCATCTATAGCCTGCCTCAATGCCTCTGCATAAACTGCCCCTATGTCTAGACTTGGTGCTTTAGAAACCCCTAGCTTCCTTCAGTAACTTTCTTGAACTCTTAGTTGTCAGGGCTCCATTGCTCCTCCACAATAGCATACACTCACACACACACACATACACATATATAAATAAGCACACATGTATGTATATGTACATGTGTATATATGCATATATATACTTATTTAGTCATAAGTTGTATCCCACCCACTCACCCTCTTGTATCATAAAAGTTCATATGTATATATACATACACATATACATACACATATACATATATACATATATATTTATTTATAGGCCTATTTTTCATTCATTCTTGTATCCTTAGTACCTAGAAGTACTTTTAACATGATAGTACTTAATAATTTGACTTAATGATTAATTTTAAGTATTAAATAAATTAAATTTTATAAATACATAAATTTTAATTTTAATAAATAAATTTAATAAACTTAATTTACTTAGTAATCTTAAAAATTCTATTCATTTAAATTTGGTCAGTCCACGAAGTAGGGAATAAAGATACCTAGGGGCTCTCGCTTTATCAGGCCCGTAGAGGACTCCCAGAACTTTGGGCTTACAAAGGCTGAGTCTGGCCCTGGGGCCCTGTGAGCCTCCCCTCCCTTACCTTTTTCAATAATGCCACCATTCCTTTACACCATGTGGAGGAGTAGTGGATGCGTTCTACTTTGAACATGTTGAGGATCTCATCAATTGGCGTGGCTGAATGGATTTCATAAGGTCTCTGCAAACAAAGGAAGAAAAAAGCACTGAGAACTTGGCCTTCCTACTGAATCCACCCAACCATCAGCTGAGCCTTGTGACCCTGGGAAAATAATTTCATTTTTCAGGGCCTCTGATTCCTTATTTATAAAATGATGATGTTTGCCCTATTAAGGACCGCAACGGATCATTGAGGAAAGTGCTTTGTAGAACTTATAGCAGTAGATAAATGTGTGAGTTGTTATTTCTTCACTTAATCCCTTCTTTGATGCCTCCTCATGGTATATAGGTTCTTGAGGACTCTTCCAGTGGAGTATAAGTTCTGGCACATTTTCCCAGGTGGGAAAATCTTCAAATTTGGGGTCAGTAATGAACTATTTCTGTTTTCTGAGAATCTAATTATTCAACCATCATTTCATCAATATTTATTAAGCACTTATGTGTCAGGCACTAGCTTTGAATATCCAAAGGAAACATCATAGTTTCTGCCTTCAAGGAGTTTACTTTCTTATGAGAGAGACAACATACATATATATATATATATGTGTGTGTATATATATATATATATATAGGCATACAAGAAACTTTCATACAGGGTCAATGGATGATAACTTTAGAGGAGATGGCACTAAGAGCCGGTAGAACTGAAAAAGGCTTCCTACAGAAGGTGAGAAGAGCCTTGAAGGAAGCAACAGATTTTAAAAAACTGAGCAGAGGAGAGAGACCAATCTAGGAATGGGATATAGCTAGTACAAAAGATGAAAGATGATAACGGCCTGGACTGGGGGCAAAGCTGTACGAGACAGAAAGGGGCTAATGAGAGGTACAATGTAAAGATAGAAACAACAAGACTTGGTCACTGATTGAATACAGATGAAGAGAGGGAAGAATCAGAGACAACCAAGGTGAATTGAAGGATGATGGTACTAGTCACAGAAAAATAAAAGGAGGAGATGTGAGTATGTGGAGAGGACAATGAATGTCATATGGAATGTCATGTGTGAGGAACAGTAAGTGCTGTCCAGCATAAGTAGATCTTAGAGTTCTTGGATAAGAGTAATGTGTGAGAAGTCTGGAACAATAGGAAGGTTGGAACAAAATATAAATGCCAAACAAATAAGTTTATGTTCAATAATGGGCGTAAAAGAGAGCCATTGCTATTTAGAGAGCCTTTGGTCAGAATTCAGCTTTTGAAAAATCTATTTTTTTAAAAGATTTTTAAAGATTTAAAGCTAAAAACTTCATCTAAGTTTAGAATGATTAACTTTTTTGGCATAGCACCACTCAAAGACATCTCCTCTCTGGTATATACTATCTATATGATCCTGAAAAAAGGCAAGTGAACTCACATGGCCCCAGGGACCTCTCTAAGACTATATGTTGTAGAATGATTGCCAATCCACATTGATAGATAAAGACAATTTCCTCACAGGTCCTCCCATATATCAATAAAATCACCTTCCTACATCCCTATGCCTCCCCCCCAAAAAAAGACCATCTACATAGGCAGAGTGTATATAGATCACTACAAAATTAAAATTTCTTGAGAATCATTGAATGTCTAAGGATGCAGCTGGGGAAACTGAGGAGAAGACTAGAGTAGGAGTCAGAAGACTTATATTAAAGTTTTGCCTCTCCCACTATATAGATACGTGACTGACTTTAGCAATTCCCTACACTTCCCTGGGTGTCATCTGTAAAGATTTCAAACTTCTCTATTAGGTCAGAAATTCCATGCTCTAAAGTTCTTCCCAGCTCCAACATTTGATGTTTTAAAATCCTTTTCATCTCTAACATTTTTTTCATATTCATCTCTAGCATATTGTTTGCAAGGCATTATGCCAGGTGCTGTGGGGAGCACAAAGTGATTCAGTCACTTTCCTCAAAGAGTTTACTTTTTAGCTGGGGGTAAAAACTTTATACACATGACAAGTCAAATAACGGCATAAATAACTAATGCAAAACAACAAGATGTCTTGAACTTATCTTTTCCCTGACAAAATCTGTTCATCCTCTGAACATTCCTATTCCCATTAAATTGTCTTCATCAGTCTCTTAGTCACACAACCTCAAAACCTCTGAGTCATGCTTGGCTCTTTCCCCTTCCTCAATGTCTCCTCTACCCATGTCTTATCCTGCCTTCCACCATCCCTCCCCCTGCGTAATTTGTAAGTCTTTTGAGGATAAAGACCATGACTTAGTTGCATCTCCCTCTAAGTATTTAACTTGATACCCTGTTCCATAAAAGTCTATAGAATCATTGAACTGAACATGACATGATAGTGGATAGAACACTAAATAGAGAATCTAGAAGACCAGACGCTAAAACCTCATGATCACACAAGTGATCATGAATAAGTCACCACCTCTATAAGCTTCAATTTCTCAGTCTGTAAAACAGAGATAATAATAGCACCTTCCTCACAAGGTTGTTTGGAGGATCAAATGAGATACCTTTGGTGAAGCACTTTGCAATCTTTAAATACCCAAAATGTTCAAATGGATCTATGATCACATTAATTTGCATGTTCCTCCCCTGCAATGATGATCCCTCTAGAACCCTGTGTCAATATATCTTTCCAACGTCTTTGGAAATTACTTTTCCTCTCATACTCTGTAATGCAGTAGCCAAACTAGCCTTCTCTTAGTTCTTCACATACAACACTCCATCTCCCATCTCTCTTGCCTTTACACTGGTTGTCCCCTATGATCAGCATGAACTCTCCTTCTCTTCACACTGTTTGGTCTCCCTCTCCCTTTAAGATGCATCACAGGCACCATCTTTAACATGAAGCCTTTCCAAATCCCTCCTCTTCCCCTAGCCGCTAATGTTCTCCCTTCCAAACTAACTTCATTCTAATGATTGTATATTTATTTGTGTTTATTCACTTTTAATTTATTCTGTGTGTATAGATATGCACATTGTCTACCCTATTATAATGAGGGTTTCTTAGGAGTGTGGACTGTTCCATTCTTTGTACTTGTTTCCCCAGCCTGGCAAAAATAGATGCTAAATAAATGCTTGTTGATTGATTGAATGATTCAGACCCCAACCCATCCATGCCTGACCAGCTCATGTGACTCTTTTTCAGATCATTCCATAAGTTAATTATAAGCAACCCAACATGTTGGAGGCCTTCCTCACCTTATCCTGACATCATAAGGAGAGTATCGAAGTCTACCTTTTATCCCTTACCTATCTTCATTTTAGACTACACATTTCTCTGCTAATAGTCTTGATACCCCTTCCTCAAAGTTCCTTATTTGTTTCAGACTGCAACCTACTTCCCACTTTGCCTCTCCATTGCCCTCTGTGCCATATTCATTCTCATGTCCTTCATGAGCCTTGTGTTCCAAGTCTCACAGCCATATAACAACACCAGTAGAAGAACTGAAAATAAACACCACTGAGAGGAAATTGGAGAGGCACTTGGTGAGTCTGAGCAAACCTTAAAATGCTACATAATGTGAATGAATTTGTAGCTCAAAGTTGTCATTTCTTTTTGGTATGAAAGGGTTCAAATAACATGGTAGAAGGAGATCACCCTGAGAAGGTGGGTTAGGGCCAAAGTGTGGGGTGGCCAACTCTTGCCAATTCTACCTCCATATCTTGAGCACATCCATTTTCTCCTTTCTGCTCACAATGCCACTGTGCTAGCTATATTAACTATAATAAAAACATCATTAAATAATAAATAATTTTTAGGATAAAAACTAAATAAAATGAGTATTTCCTTATAACACAAAAATAGGATTATAGATTGATCTGAGAATCTCTGCTATGTAGAGGTTGGATTTCTTTTAAAGCACACAATAAATTCAACATGTAACTTGCAAAGTTGTCCTGCTTTTCTGTGATTTTTCCCTGGTCATCCTGTTTTCTTTTGCACATTTAAAAATTCTTCAATTACTCTCTTTTCTTTCTTTCTTTTTTTGGCTACCCTATCCCTAGCTCCTTGTTACCTTATGCCTGCTTCCAAATTAGAAAAAAAAAACCATAAAATAAATTTTCTAATGAATAGCAAGATAAATTCCCCACATTGGCCATGTCCCAAAGTGTATGTTTTGTTCTCCATTTTGAGCATCACCTGTGTTGTTAGGAGGTGGGTAGGAGACTTCATCATCAACCCTTTGGAATCATGTTTGGTCACTGAAGATCAGAGTTCTTAGATTTAAGAACTTCTTAATAGTTTTCCTGATTTCTACACTCTCTTTCTTCTCTATTTTATCCTTCACATGACTGGAAATATAATCTTCCTAATACTCATGCCTGATTACCTTATTACTTAATAAAATAATCTTCACTAGCCCCCTATTACTTATGCTACAAAAATGTTTCAGTCTGGCATTTAAAGTCCTACAAAAGCTAATTTCTACCTGCCTTTCCAGCTATATTTTAGATCAATCCCTAAGCACCAAAGTGAATGATCAGCTTTCCCCTGAGCTCATTAGGCTCTTTCCCAATTCCTTGCATTTTCTCAGGCTCTTCTCTATTCCTTGAACTTTAAATAATCAAAATGCTCGTTGGGATCTATGAGCTGCTTGATTAGGATAGTTTCCCCAGTAATGGAGACTGTGACTCCTCCATACCATGTGTGGTAGTCATTTTCGTATCTTCTACTGGTGGTATGTAGTTGTGTGACGTGGAACCCAGGGGTCTCCAAAGAACCAGAAGTAATCACCACACATAAGACAATAGAAAGGCACTTCTGTTCCTCCAATTCATTAAAGGCTAATTCATGTGCTCAGGCCCTTGTGAAGTCTTTCCTGAGCCTTTCATTTGAGAGTGTTTCTCTTCCTTCTCAAATTTTCCTAGAATACTATCTGGATTACTCTGTTGCCCTCACTACATCCTACCTTGTATCTACTTACTTGTGTACATGCTAGATCTTTGTTAGATTCTACCCTCTTGGAGGGCTGGGTGTATCATTTTTTTTTCATCTTTGTGACCAGACACCTTGATATGTAGTAGGCACTCAATAACCTTTTGTTGAGTTAAATTGATTTAATTCCAGGAAACGA